AACTAATATTTATTATAAATGTATGTATATACATATATATATATATTATTATATTATCATATTTGTTTATTTGAAGTATACTGAGGTGTAACCTACTGTCAGTCTTAACTTAAGTCATTAAATTCAAGTTATGTCAGGGATCTGACTCGACTAGCTTTTAAGCTATTTCAGATTCCATTTTACCTAGACTGCATGTACAATTTTGAGTATTGTATGAAATATTTTCTAGGTAAATAAATTATTATTATTATTATTATAATTAGCACACACTATCACATAAATTACAAAGCAAAGTCTATGATAAAATTAGCTTTTAATAGAGCAAATAAGGTGATTAAAATTTCAAATCGATGTTATCAAATTTATCAGCATCTGTATACATCGCAAAAAAAGTATTTTCTGTTTTTAATATATTAATATAATTTTAAAATAGAGTTATTGAGTTTAGTTACAATCATTTAGAAATAACACAAGAATTAAAAAACAATACAGAAATGTATAAACTGAATGTTTCAGTGGCAGGTAAAAAGGTTAAACGAAGTTCTCAGACATGATGTCTTGAGGATTGAATAATACTACTGGTTCCACCTGAATAGCTGCATGAAATAAACATGTAGTTGTCAACAACATATGCGTAGAACGCACTATTAGAATGGATCTCAGCTGTACGGCTGACTGATACTTCTTTGAAGAATAACAATAAAGCACAGAGATCTAAGAGTAATCTGCTTTTAATTGGTCACAGATTAGATCACAGTTGAAGGTACAGCTTAAAGATAAAAGTTAACAGTATCTATGACGAATAAGATTAAAATTGGATCGGATGAGCTTAGTACTGGGTAGAAATGTATCAATTAAATAAAACCATAGTCAGACTAGCAAGGGTTAATAGCTCAATATCTCGGGTTATCTATACATTTAAAGGAGAATAATCTAAGTTCTTGCAGGAAAGTGTAATGTATCTTTTTTATTCTAATCGGTCCACTGACACTGTGTGGCTTTTTTTTGCTAATTACCTAATACTACTATCTAACATTCTCTTGTAACTGGGGGAAGGGGTGCCTCAATGGTGTATCATTCAGTTGTATCACTTTTAATTGGCACGATAATTATATATACAAATAGATTTGTAAACTTCTCTGCATGTCTTTGCATAGTACACTATTGTTGGGGTGGAATTGCAGTATAACTATTCAATATAAAGAGTATTAAGGAACCATACTGTTAAAAGATGAAATGTATTTAAAAATTAACAATAACATATTGATGGCTTGTTTCCCATAACTAGAGCAATTTCAAAATCAGGACAAAATCACTGTGGAACATTCTGGATTAATTCCACAGCGACAGAAATCCTGTTTTTCAACACTATGATGACTTTAAATTAAGCTACAAAGCAGAGCAAAATCATTAGATATAATCTCCCGTGAAAATAAAAATATTTACTTCTAGCTCAATTTGTAGTATATACATGTTGGTGAAGAGTATTTTTGAGCACATTATACAGCATGGACAGGTGCAATATTATATGGCCGACAAATTCTAAATATGGCCCATCTTCTTTCCATAATCGACACATGTTCAACTAGCAGCATATTAAGATAGAGGAAGCCTACTCATAATTTGTTCATAAATTGCATGTTAATGATCATTGGTTTATTAAGAAACATGGACCTAGTTTAATAGTAATATCATAGTGTATTCCTTTGTGTCCATAATTTTAGTAAAATTATTACACAAAAATTACTATATTTCGAGCAATTCCAATGCGAAATTAAAGCGAAATTGTTCACCATTATTCACAATAATTGTATTTTTTTATGTCAAATGTCATAAAACAATACTATGAAATTCAAGGTCTTTAATAAATTCTTCATTACCAGGACCCAAATAATTGTTGTATCGTTCAATAATGATATCTACCAAGTTATTAAAAGCCAACTAAGTTGATCAAAGTTAAATTTATGAAATCAATGTTGAAAATTTAGCTGAAAATTGTATGGCCTTGAATCACAATTTCACTATAATGTCTGTTGCAAGTATGTGTACATTGCCAAAATTATGAAAAACTGTTTTTATTGAAATAAGAATATAAATTGCATTTATATGTCTCAATTGAAGTTTGTCTGTCCCTGTCCATAATTTTGTGATCTTACATATCAATTTGATGCTGATGAAGTCATTGAGATTAGATTGAAACCATTAATAAGAGATGGATTTGTAAAAAAATTATGATTTAGTGCTTTTACAAGAGAATTGATGTGCACCTATAACCAAATATGTATGATCATCATACCAAGTTTGATTCAAATCGGCCCAGTCATCTCTGAGAAACAGCTCCGGACATGTAAAAATAATGATTTAGCGCTTTTACATGAAAATTAGGCGTCGGCCAGCCATATTGAATTGAATAACAAAAATCATGTTGGTGCAGATGTATCTCTTGGTATGCTATCTTTGTACAAAATTTAAACAGAAACGTTCATTGCATTCAAGATAAAGTAGCATGGGTACCATGAAAGACAAGATGGCCGCCAGTCGGCCACATTTGTTCGAATCACGAAAAAAAAATGACATGCACCTACAATCCAATGTGTATGATCATCATACCAACTTTGATCCAAATTGGCCCAGTCACCTTCGAGAAACTGCTGCGGACACATTTAGGTATCAGAAATAGCAAATTTTACATCCAAAATGGCCGCCAGTCGTCCGAACGGGGACCAACAAAATAGGTCTATATACAGAAGTGATAAGAACAAAAAAGACCCATCTTTGATTGAGTTTTCCTCGGCTAATTTTCATAATATTTGGTGAATCAACTTCTCATGAACAAATTTCTATCTGTACCTGAAAGCTACACACACACTAAAGTCAGCCACAGATTGACAACCAGGTCAATGACAGACAAAACCTCATATCAATAGCCTATGGTCTGTTGAGCTAGAAAGAAAAATGCTATCTAAAAATTTCACTTAAATAGATTCACCTGTGTACAGAATGGAAGAAAAAAAAAGGCATAAAAGTTAACAGACCATAACTACAAATACGAATCTTTACACCTGGAATCATACACAATGGTGCCGCCAAGACAAAGTGACCTCATGTACATGTCCATAATTCCTCCATTACAAAGCATGTGTCTTCTTAGATGTTAAAGGAATTTTGCGATAATGCAACGTTGTCGATAAAAAGTTGGGTAACTTGTAGATGGTGATTTGGTAGGTTTTTATTTCAATAACTAAGAAAAACAATAGAACCTAATATGCATTATTATTAAACAATACAATTTAGTTTTGGTAACAATTATTAGTTGATGATTTGTAGCACAAATTTAATTAGTCAGAGCCCAAGGCAAGAGTTGGTGAGCTTAGTAAATCAAATTATGACATAAAATTTGACTCAATTACCAAGGGAAGATAAATACAGGTCATAAATTTGTAAATAATATAATTAAATGCTATTTATGACTAACACCCCCTCCCTCCCTTAATATTACATTTCTTAAGTCATTGCGTAATGATTAGTTGACAACCACTATTTCTAAATTCACATAGGTGTGACTTGGTGATTGATATACCACCTATACACATACCAGAGTATATCTCCTGCCTTAATTACTCAAAAAATACACTGATTCAAAGGTTAATCCTGAACAAATCTTATGGCGTACTTGATTAAAATATCTAATAATTTTGTATGCATGTGCATCCTATTTTTAGTTCCTGTTATTGCTAAAATTATACAGTTTACATAATGCAGTTTTGATTTATATATATATCTAATAAGGGGGTGGAGTGTGGGTTGCGAGAAGGGGAGGTGTACATGTTATTTAAATTGGACTGGCATTAAAATGTTTTGGCCTTTACTCATGGATGTTCATAAACAAATTTTAACTCATCTCACCAGATTCACTTTAAATATTTCCAAGACAAACCAGTTACTAAACTTGCTCTTGCAATTTCAGTGTAGACTTGTTGCACAAATTTACAATAGGTGTGCTGCATACTTGGCAAACTGAACCCTTCAACCTCAACAGTAAATTACATGGCAGGTCAACATACGACTTATTAACACATGTACAGGTTACATTTTGCTATTGTTGTATGTCGGAATATAGTAGCATAGTGAAGTGACTGCACCACTGAACAGAATGGCAGGCTTTGAGTAACATTCTTCTTAATTAACTTAACCATGGAAATCCTTACAAGTTAAATCACAATGTGAAGGCTAGTGCAGTTATGAACAAATGACAAGTATATGGCAAGGACGATGCAGTCAACTATATTAATTTAAATATATGGATCATGGACAATGTATCAAGTCTCAAAGTTTTTAATAAAATCTTTGCTCCATTATAGCATTCTTGTGATACAATGTAAATGAATATGATATTTATGTCAGACAATTACAAAAGAAAATGAAGCACACTCATGCATGCATGTTTCAGAATATATACATTATGTGTTCCTTTTTTTTTTTCTAAATTAACATTAACT